GAGTTGCAACCATTCCGTATAACAGGAATGTGTCGTCACAGTGGCAATGCATTCTGGGAATTTAAGTCACGGGAGCTACAGCGGAAACAGGATAATAGTGAATGTAGACGTTTGATATTATTTAATGCATATATTATTCTACTTAAGATCGCGTTGGAGTGGTTAAGGCTCACTTTACATCATTTGCCATAGCCCTTTGCACGACCGGTTAGAAAGCTGAAAAAGAAGAGGTAATTCCTGCAGACATATGTCATAGCCCTTATCAAAGTCTGCATTAAATACCTCTGCTTTTGATTAACGCTATGTTGATACAGTAAGCGTTAATCATTCCAATGCGATCTTAAGTTGAATCACATAAACAGAAAATGTCTAGATTCACTACGGAACTCGGATGAAAGTTAAACTGAAACTCTGTATGGTAAACAACTCAAATAAGATGTGTTTTGATTAACGCTATGTTGATACAGTAAGCGTTAATCATTCCAACGCGATCTTAAGTTGAATCATATAAACATAAAATAATATAAAGTGTCTAACTTACATTCACTACGAAACTCGGTATGGTAAACAACTCAAATAAGATGTGTCTTAAGGCAGTGGTCGCCAACCCGTCGATCGCGATCGACTGGTAGATCTTTATCACTGTCCCAGTAGATCCCGAAAATAACAGTAAAATAAGTACAAAAATGCATTACATTTCTGGGGTTATATTAATGTATCACTGAAGGGAACTGTCTTGAGAAAAGTTTCGATGGCAATGGCATTTTCTTCTCCTCCGTATAAAGCGCGGCTCTGCTTTGTTTACAGCGGTAACCAAGGAAACGCTTATAGTGCGGTCGGTTCATAAGCAGTGTTGCCAAGTCCGTGGTTTTTCCGCGGAATTGGGCTAACGTTACTTTAACACTGTTGCCGCGGGTTGTTGTTCATGTATGCGGGTTGAAGTGACCCCAATAACGTGATATTTATCCCCTGGAATGCGATTTTTACAGGGGAAATCCCTCGAAACGCGATTGGACTAGTTTTATTGCGAAAACCTGGCAACCCTGTTCATAAGCGCCACCTGCTGTCAGAGAGTGCGTCTCATTTAGAGCTGGGGCAAGTTCAAGCTCAAACCGGTGTGCACCGTTTTGCTACGGTTTCCGGTTTGAACGACATGTTTCCTGGAAACGGTGTGCAACGGGGTTTGAGATGCGTTTTCTCTTGTTTGGTGGGTGTGTCAAACATGTCAGCCCAATCAGCAGCAACATGTATGTAAGAAAGTCAGACCATTCTTTTTTTGTTTTAAATCCTGAAATTAATTTAAATCAAATCAAAAACACGTGATTAAAATGCAGTGGTTGCCTCTAATTTCAAATGGCTAGATATTTTTGTTTGAAGCCAGTTTGTTTGTTATAAAGCAAATAGCCAATAAATAAATTTGCTTAAATATCAGAATCAGCCAATTTGCAAGTTATAAAAAAGAAAGAAAGAAAGAAAAGAAAATCTGAATTCTGAATCAGCTATGATCGGAGCATCACTAATTAAAATACTAAGTAAAAGGCCTCAAATTTGAAGTACAATCTGGGCTGTCTTTTTCTATCAATTCTTCAATAGGTAGATCTAGTCTTTCATAAAGACCGAGTTCAGGGATCTTGGGCCTAAAAAGGTTGGTGACCACTGCTTTAAGGCATCAAAAAGCGTTCCGTATAAAAGCTAAACGGAACGATGTTTGTCCCGCATTCGCAGGCATACGCCGTATGACCACCATATGACCACCAGACCATACGAATAACAAATTCTCAATTGATAAGTGATCATTCTTTTTGTGCAAATCATTGTTTCATTTGCGAACATAGCCTTTCGAGGAAGGCTTTGAGACCAAGCGGAATCCTCTGCCGGCCGCTTCACAGCGAGCAGGGCTCACGCCGTCCGTGTTTTGATTTTGGCAAATCAGTTTGAGTGAATGCAAGCAACATGATTATTGATCATGAGCACAACATCCAGCTAGGCAAAAAAAAAAAACATGCAATCTGCTTGAGGGAAGAAGTCTTTCACTATTGTAAGTTAATGTTAAGAGAAAAAAATTATTTTACATTTTAAAATGTTAACTTCTAGTGTATTCTTGAACGTAGACCTCATTATTGAGGCACAAATTCAAATAAAAGCAGCCCACGCTCTCTAAGTTCTCTTTAATAAAAAAAAAAAAAAAAAGGCTTTTTCATTCATAGGCTGTATGGTTACAGGCACTATTTAAGGTAGCTACTGTGTTATGACTGTTGTTGGCGATCCTGAGTGTATTATATTTTATATAGTTTTATGGTTATTTTGCGAGCCTGAGTATAGTTTTACACATCAGCCCAGTCTATTCTGTATTGTTAGTGATACGCAGTTTTTTTTTTTTGCACATTAATCTGACAATAAATGTGGCACACCCAGTCTCTTTTCTGGCTACGCTAGTGGGGTGAACTATCCCTAAAGTTGATGCCACTAGGAAGGAGATGCAAACCAGAGCTGAGCTTCAAAGACGACACATTTTTTGTCGCATGGAACTGTACAATCAGAGCCAAAAGTTGAGAGAAGCACAGCTGCTGGAACAACTGAGACAACAGATTTACAGCATCATAGGAGGCACTGTTTTATGCTTTATTGGCTGGACCCAACGCAAATCGATGCAAATACGGGGAGACAACAAGGAGAAAACAAGAAACAGAGAGAACATCATCAGAAAATTAATGGGGAGAGGCTAAGACAGAGAACAAGAGCAGTTGAATCATCAAGAAGAGGAGTCGAAAAGAAAATATGAGTACCACCAGCATAGATGTAGAATGGAGTGAGATTTGAACAGGAGAAGCAAGACATTTCAAGAAAATATTGAGCAAAAATACTCAGAACCTCTTCTTGGGCAGAAGCTGGAAGGGAGGAAATGTTAAGGAAAAACCTCAAGAACAGTTGCATTATTTCATAAAAAGCTACTTTGACCATATTTTGTTCCTCTTTTGTAACTGGCTTTGGATAAAAGCAGCTGCTAAATGCATACATGTAAATATTACAGGTTTTTAAAATGTCAAACTACGGAAGAGTTTTTTTTCCACTAATATTGTAAATGCGGCGCAATAAAATTCAGGTCAGCTGTTTCTCAATAGTTGCAGTGTTATCTCACACATCACACAGTCGTCATTTATCATTCAGATAGAATTGAAGTGCTCAAAGCTACAAAACCTGGAGCACCCAATCCTAAAGCTAGCTATAATGTGTTATAAAGCAACATTGTATTTGCACTGGTCTGCTGGATAAATTTAGATTAAATATATATAAACTTTTGACAACTGTAAGTACCAAAAAAAAAAAAAAAAAAAAAAAAAAAAAAGTGCTTATTGGAAAATTAAAAGCATAAACGGCAGTATCCGTTACATAAGTGTTTTGTGAGTGAATGCAATTTCCTAAAAGCCTCAATTATGCAATTCAAAGCATCTTTATCACATAAGCATTAAGAAGATTTCTACTTCAAAAGTTTTGAATAACTTTGATAGCCAGCTAAGGGTGTATTCACTCCAGGGAATTCCGCTAGTTCACTTGCTTTGGTCCAGACCAAATAAAATTTAGATTTTTTTTTTTTGATGTGGTTCGCTTTCACACTGTCCTTTTTGCAAGTGAACCAGAAATTGTAAACAAAACCACAAGTGTGCTAAAGGTCATCCATTCACTGGACATAAAATCTCAAGCATACCAGTTTGTTTGGAACCGGACCGAGACCACCTCTTCAGCTGGGTCTCGGTACGGTTTGGTCCACACCCGAGTGCAATTGCTGTATTCACACCTGCCCAAAAGATCCACACCGGGGGAGCTTGAGTTCGATCCAATTGAACCAAACAAGACGGGTATGAATACACCCTAAAAGACCCAATAATAATAATAATAATAATATTTAAAAAAAAAAGCTTCCATAAACCTTGAAATGAAAAACTAAAAAAAAAAAAAAGTTAATCAAAACACACAGGTTTAATTTGTTTTTATTAAAAAAAAAAGGGGGGGGGGATTCCTAGTGGACAAATTCCTGCCTGGTGTGAACTTGCACCCCTCGACAAAAGCACTGTAGTACACAGCAACACTATGAGAAGATCACAATACAGAACAAATGTGAAGTTACTCAAACACAGGATAAGCATCACCTTCAATAAAAGCACTCGAATGGAAAATTGTCTGAAGGTTTTCCTCCATGGAATTAAATTGTAGTTCTGGGTCTGAGAAACTTAGTTTTAAGTGCTTTCAGTGCAAAAGCGCAGCAGATAAGCTTAAACTAAACTGTCAGTCACCGGGTGAAGATTCTTCCTATATGACATTAAAAAGATCAACAGATCTAAAATAGTGCTCATTAACACCACCTATGAGTTGCACAAGAGATCACTATGCTGTCTCATCCATAACACAATAATATCCTCCGATTGAATCATTGTAACAAGTAAAAATAAAACAAAACAAAGCTAACAGATGAGGACATAGGAGCACTACATGAATTAAAAGTTACTCCACAGAAGACAAATGGCGCATAATGGAGGCACCCACTACTGCTGGTCCAAAACAACTGCCTCCCAAGTACAGAACAAATACAAAATGATATGGGCTCATTCAGCAAACTACTGGGCAGAAATCCTGTCCACAGTGAAACATGACATTTACCTACATGGAAGATGCTGTCTTTACCAGATGGAATATCAAAACATATGGCTGATTTGCTTCTTTTTTTTTTTTTTTTTTTTTTT